ATATATATATTTGATTATCTTCTTTAGATTTTTTAGCAGTATATCTTATTTGTTCTTTTAATTCACCAAAAGTATTTTCAATATAAAGTTGTGGATGCCAATTAGATTGTGCATAATTCTGAAGTGAAATAGATTTTCCATCAGATAAACGTTTTTGATCATCATTTGAAAGATGTAATGATAATTTATTAAATTCTACTGGCCAACGAGCTTCAATCGATGCTTGTGCCTGATATCTTTCATTTAATGTATCAATTTCACCTAGATTAATAATGAAAAAAGAAAAAATTATTTAAAATATTTTTCTAACAAATAACCTATTCGAAGAAAGATAGCACGAATATAAATTTCCATCGGTTTATTTGATGATAATTCGGAAATTTGTTGTTTGTAATTATCAAACACTTTAAAAATGATAAAAATAGATATGTTTTTCGAGATTTAGAAATTTTATCAAACCTGATAGTCCCTTTTTGATGGTTGACATATTATACACGTATGAGTAATTTATTCGAATGGTTTTTTTTTGTTTTGACACTCAGTACTACTGTGCAAATGTATATATATATATATATATATAAATGTTGATGTGTAGGATAGTCTTGAAACATTTGAATTCTAATCGTCAATGGTTGACCTTGTATCAAAAAATGCAAATGCCTAATAATAGATAAATATATATGCACAGAGAGTTGTCAGATTTATTTTTATTTCGAAAAGCTCCGTAATTATGACATATACAATTTGACATGTTTATTTGCAGCAGAAAGAAAAAAAAATCGTTTTGTTTTCTTTTTCTATTTTATTTATTTAAAAATGAATATGTAGGACTATTCAAAAGTCGTGGCAAAGATACTTTGATTCTTTATAAAAAGCATAAAGAAAGTTTTTCTCTATGTGGAGTAATAGTAAAAACAATGACCTATTTTTCTGTGCTATTATATCAATCTTCAAATAATATCATAATAATTAAGGTTTCAATAACGCCTGTTTTTCTGTCATTATGTGACGGCAATACTAATGCCTATCTAAAAAACAGGCGGAGTAAATATTTTTTGAATAACTTCTGATAAAAACAAGATAGAGAGCTATGGCTTCCATCGTTCGAAAGAGGAAATGAAGATGTATCGAATTTTGTTTGAACATAACTTTTTAAAAGTTTTAAATTGATCTCTTTGAAAACAAATCTATCTCGTGAGGTGTTTACAGCAAATTTCCAATTGTCACATGTAAATTTAAATCACCAATAGAACATCTACAAAGCTGTACAAGTTTTGGATGTGTATAATTAATTATTCAGGAATTGAAAGTATCCTAGTCCAAGTTCTAAGTGATTTTTTTAGCCATTTCTTTGAAAAAAAAAGATTTTTGCTATTTCATTTTTGATAAAAAATCATTTGTTCCACACTTAGACAATTGATTAAACAAATTACGCGCAACATACTAGGAAAATGTATAATATACGATTGGATACATCTTCGTCTCCTCTTTCGAACAATGAAAACTGAAGATCTCAATCTCTTTTCTACCAGAAGATATTCAAACAAAATATCCACTCCGCCTGTTTTTTAAAGAGGCATTAGTATAACCGTCACATATGACAAAAAAAACAGATGCTACCGAAATTTAATTATTATGATATCACTTGAAAAATAATGTAATAGCACAGAAAAATAGATCATTGTTTTTACTATCAGTCCATATAGAGAAATAGTTTTTTTTAACTTTTTATAAGGAATTAAAGTATTTTTACCACTACTTTTCGATAGTCTAATTATATTAAATATTTCGACTTTTTCTAATCTTTAGTATCGGTCACCATCAGTATGTTGTTAAGCAAATAATAAACCTATTACTTAAATACATCAAAAGCATAATAATAACAATAACATAAACCAATAACTCATAGTTTAACTATATTTTATTGAAATAAAACTCAAGTCTAAAAAATTACTATAATTAAATCAATAATAAAAATGAAACAAAACAAAATTTTTTCTTCCTAGTGCAAAATTCATATTGTTATTATTTCTTAGATAATTATGAAATCTTGAGTTACATATGTTTATTTGGTTCATTTAGAAAAATATTAAATTTCTTTCTTGATCTTTTGGGTCATCATCCGTTATTTTCACTTTGACTGTCCCTTGAGTTAATTAGTGCTTTGAAAATGTAAACATTGAAATTTAATTTGCCTCTTTAAATATAACAATAATCATTACGTTGACGAATTGTTTAACAGCATATGGATTAGATATTTGGTTCAAGGAGTTCATTAAACATATGATAATGGAATTGTTATACATAAAAACACGTATAAAAATTTTACATCAATGTCTTTCATGTACTTTTCACAAAATCGACACTGGTTTTTTTTCTCAATCTCTTATCTTTCTAGAATTTCAATGGTTCAGTCAGTGAATAATCCTCTATATCAATGATAATCACACTTTTATAATAAAATTGAATATTCGTATTTTTGCTTATATACAATTCACATTGCAGAGATAGAACCGATGCCGGTACGGATTTCAGACCGGTTTTATCTCTTATACTTTGTATTTTTTCTTGTAATGCTGTCATCATTTATTGAAGAAATAAACAAAAATCGATGTTTTTTTAATCTAATTTGTATTTCATATTACATTTGTGTCTAGAATTGGTACAGGTGTATAAGCAGAAGATTTTTTCCGTTGTTCTTTACTCCATTTACTCTTTCTATTTCTTTTCTTTTCGACTATTGATAAACCATATTGAATATCCTTGTTTGCCATGTTCTTACGATGTTTGAGTGGAACAAAAATTAGCCAGATAAGGAATATAACATGAATACCAATGAAAATACTCATACTAATACAAAAAGCATATCGATCTAAACTAGTAAACCACATTTTTGATGTGACAACTGAATCACTTGTATTTTTAAATATGAGAAAACCAATAATAGCATGCCATATGCAAAGAATAATAAGGATAAATATACATAATATTGCATATATATCCATTGATGTTAAATATGAAATAGTCGGCTGAAAAATGAAAACAAATTTCAACAAAAAGATTAAAAACTAAACAATCAATGAATAAATAGACATACAAGTGATCGATTTACTACCCAACGAAATGTAATTGAAGTTAAGAGAAGTGTACATGATATTTGAATTCGATTTCCTGTTAAACTATAAATTAAAAATATTATATTTTAGTAAAATATTCATTAAAAAACAAACTAACTGTGGTGAAATTGCAAATATACAAAAAGATAGCAAAGTTATTAATAAAATAAGACAATAACCATTCCAATAGAAATAATTCGAACGACGAGCTATTTGAAAACAAAAAAATGTTTTTCTTTTACTTTATTTTTTGAGAATACAAACCAGCATGACAAGTAATTGTTAAAATAGAACGTTTTCGATCTTCATTATTATTTGTATTGTTTAATTGATTATTATTATCATTTTCTTCTTCATCATCATCATCATCATCATCGTCAAAAATAAATTCTTTAACAAATCTTTGTTGAGTATCAACATGTTCATATAAAGACCATTCTTGCTGATCAACAAATGCTTCTCGATTTACTCCACTTAAATGATTAGGATCAGCTATTAAAATAACTTTATCATCATAAAACATTGATGCTATTGAAATTGATAAATCTTGAACATCAGATGGAAAATGATGTAATTCTAATTTTTCCCAAAATAAACCTTTTATATCACGATGTTCACATATATATATTTGATTATCTTCTTTAGATTTTTTAGCAGTATATCTT